ACATCTTTGGTGTGCTGAATTTCAGGTGTCTGTGTGACAACCATGTGAAAATGTAAAATGGTAGGTATGTAAGTTTGGAGTTCAGAAGAGAAGTGATACACAGTGAACACTGATTGGATATATGCTATGTTACTATATTTTTCTGCCAGCTCAGATGCTAGTTATTGACTCATCTACATTCTCATTAGGATGTTGCTGATCACTGGAGCCCATGGGCGTTGCCTATTGATGATAAATCCATGCAGTCTAAGGTTATAAACCCTAGCTGACCAATTCTCTGAGGCACTTTTTGTTCTGATAGGCTCTTTCAAGATCATCCATCTCCAAAGTGCCCCAGATTATGTACAAGCTGTGGAATCTCCTGCTTATGATTATCTTATTTCATGGCTCTAAATTCTCAAGTCCTGCTGTGTTTGAGAAAGTTCATATATATAGACATTCCAAAATATGCAACTCATATTATCTCTCTGGGCATCGCAAAATCAAATATTCAGAGACTATCAGACAAGAATCTCAGGCAATCTGCAGATCAAGCACAGCTAATGCAGATAAAATGACTTAATGAAGCTCCCTTCCATTCAGTTAGATGTTTATTGAGTGTCTACAATTTGCTAAGCATTGTTGTAGTTGCTACAAATACAATGGTGACACCAAAATAGGTAGATCCTGCTCTGTTCTTTGTAGTCCACCAGGAGAGTGACACAGGCTACTAACCAGACAACTGTCAGACAGCCTAGAGGAAGTGATCACTAAGTAACAAATAGGTAGCCTCCTCCTCAAAAATATCATCCTATGTGAGTAGCTAGGGTGTATCAGAGTAAGAATCATGATATCATATCTGTCTGAACCTAATTCTGAGTCCTTTCCATGTTGTGTCCCTTATTATCAGTTAACAGAATCAGCCAAAATTATGATTGAGGAATAAAGGCATGGGCTTTAGAATCAAACTACCTGGGCTCAAATACCAACTCCCCACTTACTACTTCTATGACCTTGGATATGTTATTCAACATGGGACTGGCATCGTGGGTTAAGTCACCACTTGGGACATCCTCATCTGATATGGGAGTACTGATTTAAGTTTTGGCTACTCTGCTTGTGATATAGCTCCCTGCTGATGTTCCTGGGAAGCAGTTGATGATGACACTCAAGTACTTGAGTTCCTGCCACCCACATGGGAAACTAAAACCAGGATGGGGTTCCTGGCTTCAGACTTCAGACTGGCCCAGCCCCAGCTATTGAAGCTATTTGTTGAGTGGAGCATCAGATCGCTCTCTTGCTCTCTCTCTCTCATTCTCTCTCTCTCTCTCATTCTCTCTCTCTCTCTCTCTCTCTCTCTCTCTGTCACTGTGCCTTTCAAATAAATATATAAATCTTTAAAAAGTCACTCAACTCATCTGAGCATTCCACTCATTTATAAGATGGACATATGATCTACCTCTTAAAGGATGCTATCTTAACAAACAGTACTTATTTTTATTATATTTTAGGTAATCTTCCAGGTTCTTTCCAGTTCAAAGTATAGTCTTTGATGCTTCCTGCTACTGAAAGTGGTGGGGGTAAGCTGAAAAAATATGAACTTGGGAATTAGGATTATTGGATTTTGACCAAGATTTTCTTCTAGGTAGCTGTCAGTTGTGGACGCTCGTGTGACCTTTCCGAGCTATCATTTTCCCATCTTCCAATGGTGGGTTCATTTCAGGTCATCTCTGAGGTGCATCTTTTTAAACTGATAGACTGTTAGGAGGCAGATGGGACTTATTTTGGCTATCATAAGGAGAGGTGATGAAAATTAAGATTGGTTATCATAGGATGCACTTTTCTCCCTCAACTCCTAATCTCTGTGCTTCCTATTACTACACATTGTTTGAATCCAATAAATGATTCTTAAGTGAGCAATGAGACAGCATGAGCAGGATGTGCATGGGGCCCAGAACATCTGTACATAAACTGAGAAAAGGATACTGACAGCCACCCAGCTGTTTCATCAACATATCCCTCCAACAGACAACCCTTTGTGGAAGCTGGGAAAAGGTACAGATTTCAACAAACATCTGTCAAGAGTCATTCTTTTCCATTACCTACTAAGTGCTGACTTTTTCAACCTATTGAAGACATGTTGCCCCAATGAGCTGTGCCCCTTAAACCAAAAAGCATTCAGCAGTACAGTGGCTGGTTTTCAGATTCTATTGGAATTCTTCTCTCTGTTCCCCTACTCTGACTTCCGGGCAAAGATGTATATGAAGTCATTTGAACAACAACAACAACAAAACTGTAAAAGCCCAGACTCACCAGGGGCTGCAGCTGGGTTAAGGTGGAGCTATGTCTTTACATCATCACATCCCTTCCCTCATCCAGAGCAACTACAAGAGCCTGAACTGAAAGGGATATGGGGTTCCTCGACTTCCCAGATCATACAATTGCACAAACTGTGGCCATGTTCACTCCAGATGGAAACACAGGTATATGTTGCTAGGGCAAGAATAGACTGAGATTTGACTTGGAAATTGGAACCCATAACTGCCCTTTTTTCTGGGTATGATCTCAATCAAGTCAATTCAAAGGTTAGGCAAGGTTTTCTCAAGCGAGAAAGGGAAAACATGCTTCTCAGAGTTGTCTTCAATAGGTTGAAAAAGTCAGCACTTAGTAGGTACTGTTCTTCTATTATTGTCCCAGGAAAACTGAGGGACAGATGTCCCTAGCACCCGGAAAGGGGCAATAGAAAGATTTTGTGAGTGATCCAGGAATGAGTACACAGAGAAAATGACTATGGCAGGGGGTGGGAAACCCTTTCAGTTAAGATTCTCTGGGAAATGCATGCAAGAAAAGTCAATCTAGAAAAGCACCAGAATGTGTTTGCTTAGGGATGTTTTTGATCAGCTCTCTCTTTATTTTTTACAGCTTTTTACTGCAGGGATAGTAAAATCAATGTTAGTTTATTTTATGGAGTAGAAATATTTTTGAAAAATTGGCTTGAATATAATTTCTAAAAGCAAATCTGATTCTTCCCTCTTAACTCAAATTATAAAAGTGGAAAAAAATTCTGTGAAAAGAATTCTGTGGAGAGAATATTGGTCTAAGAAATAAAAAAAAAACAGTCCTAAGATGGCACAGTATCTTGTGGAATCCTATATTTAATTTTTAAATACTAATTTTAGAAGAAACATTAATAATAGTGCCACAAAACCTTCAGCAAAGAACAACTGAAATATTTCTGTTTGGAAAATGCTCATAAAGCCTTAAAGAACAGGAAGATGTAAGGATAACAATAGTTTTAGCTGGGTAGGTAACGTTAAGGTAAGGAATAGAAGACAAAGGAGGCTGACTCAAGATGGAGAAAAATCCCTAGTCATCCACTATGAGTAGAGAGAAATTTTACATTTCACAATCACGGTTGACCCCTCCTTCCCCCTGGGTCTTTGACATTTTCTTTTAAGTCTACATTTTTTTTCCACATCCCAGTATTCCCTGGATCTCCCTATGACCCTTACTCTACTATGTTTTTTTTTTTATAGCACTATCACCTTCTATCATAATATGAACTGTTTTATTATGTTTATATTTGACTTTTCCATCCCCCCTGCCAAGTGTAAGCTTCCAAAGACAGAGATTTTTCTTGCTGTGTTTATTGCTGTATCCTCAGCACCTAGAATGTGCTTCATGTGTACCAAAAGCTTGATAAATATTTGTCCAATGAATGAAAATCTCACTGTGTAGGGCAACTCCTCCATGAAATTTATCCCAAGCAAGTTTCATCTTGTACTTACTCCATCATAATAGTTTTCACGCCATACATTAAAAAATTATACATGAAATTCATGTAATGTAAATGAACCATTTTAAGGTGTGTGATTCAGTAACATTTCGCACATTTACAATGTTTTGCACATAGCACTTCTATCTAGTCCCCACTTTCATCACCTCAAAAAACATAAAAATCTCTGCAGTCATTACACAGCCACTAGGCATTCCTCCCTACTCCTAGATCCTGACCACTGCCAATCTGCTTTTTGTACCTGAACATCTCATATAGATGAAATATAGATGAAATGGTATAGATGTGACCTTTTGTGTCTGGCTTCTTCTAGTTAGTGTGATATTTTTAAGGTTCATCCATGTAGCAGTTTGAACCAGAGCTTCATCACTTTTTAACGGTTGAGTAATATCCATTGTATAGGTATGCCACATAAAGCTTAGCCATTCAGCCATTTTTGGACATCTGGGTTGTTTCTACTTTTTGATTCTTGTGGCCAGTGCTGCTCTGAGTACTCCTGTGCAGGTGTTTATTCCTACCAGGCTTTGATTGCCTCTTTTCTCATCTGTCTCCCCTACGAAACCATGAACTCCTGAGCACAAGCACTGAGTCTGTCTTGTTTAGTGACATTCATAGCCTGAGCTGTGGACTAGAAAATACTTGTTCAATGAACGGCTGGATACAACATGTCCATCTTGAACTTCTAATTAAAATCAATGATTGAAATTTCTTAAATAACAGGGAATGGCAGCCTTTAAAAATTCAATAATGCCACAAATATGAAAAAGCATTGACGTCTTAATTCCACATTGAGGCCAGCTGCAGGAAGGGAAAAGCGGATAGAGTGGGTGAGAGAAATGAGGGGCTTCTACAGAGCCAGGGAGGAGGCGGCAGCAGAGAGAGGTGGAGGAGCAGGGGAAGGTGGGCCATGAGGCTGGGTGAGGGGGGAGCGAGGGGACTCAGAGATGAAGGGGATGGAGCAGCTCTCAGGTTACCATAAGCCTCTCAAGCAGCCCAGAGAATCCTCTCTGCCCCCAGGAAACAGCATTTTGTCTTTCATTTTCAAACATCAAAGTTTATTTCTGAAATAAAGATTTGCTTTTGTGTCAAATTCTGAAGGTACTCCCCAGATGTTCAAGAGTGACTTTGGCTTTTAGAAATAAACTTTTGAAATGGAGAGTTGTCTTCAAATGTTAGGCTCTATCTATCTCTTTTTAAAAATGAGGTTTTTAAAACAATTGTGGCAAAAATAACATAACAAATTTATTCTCTCCCTCACTGTTAAGTGTACAGAACATTCATGTTAATTATATGCACAGTGTTTCACAGTAGCTCTCTAGTACTTTTTCATCAGACATGATTGAAACTCTATACCCTTTGAACTTGAGTAAACATTTATTGAATACCTACTAAGTGCCTATATCACAGCAAACCATGGTTAATTTTCCTTTTTCTTCATTTTACGTCCAAGGACCGTGTCCATTGGCATACACTGACAACAATTTAGGCCTATACAAGGGCTCTTCAAAAAGCACATGGAAAATGCATATCAAAGAAAAACTATACATTATTTTCAGAATATTTTTTCACCAAAACAAACACCTTTTAATTCCATTTTCCATGAACTTTTGGAAGTACTCTTGTCATTAACTAATGCTTTCCAGGTTATTATTATTATTTCCTCATAAAATGCTACTCATTTATTTCATTATTTGAAACTCTCTCAAGCTGTTAGTATTCTCTCCTTACAAATGAGGAAACCAAGGTCAAGGGAACATAGGTAGTTTATTCAAGGTCACAGAGCTAGAAAGTGGCACAGCTAAGATTTGAAGTCAGGTTTTGAACACAAATTCTTCCTCACTGTATTATGCTATCAATGATTTGTTCCAAGTAACATTAAAGAGTGACTTTAGCAATGCCTCTTAGCTTTCCAGAATAAGAGAAAAACACAAATAAAATAAACTTCCTTATTTTGGTTCAAAATAATCTAAAAATAATTCACCAAACTAATTTTGTCTTTTAACCAATGCCTCTGTCCAAAATATTTTTCTTATTTAGTTTTTATGTATTGTGTTGAGTATTATTAGTTTGCAAATTTTAACTATTGCATTTGACACATGCTAACATGTTGGAGCCAGACCTGGACCTGAATCCTGGATTTGCTATTAATTAGTTGGAAGACCTTAGAGAAGTCATTTAACCTCTCTGAGTTTCAATGGCCTTATCTGTGAAATGCTGTTTACAATAGTACTCTATAATGAGGAGTACATGAGATGATGTCTCCAAATTGCTTAGCATATTTCCCTAGTCCATAGCAAATACTTAAATAGCAGGTGTTATTAATATGCTAAATACTACAAGAAGTGAATACTTCATCCAGTTAACCAAACTTTTGATAAAGGACTGAATTTTTTTTTTTTTTGACAGGCAGAGTTAGACAGTGAGAGAGACAGAGAGAAAGGTCTTCCTCAAATGGTCACCCCTCAAATGGTCGCTACAGCCGGCACGCTGCGCCAATCCAAAGCCAGGAGCCAGGTGCTTCCTTCTGGTCTCCCATGCGGGTGCAGGGCCCAAGCACTTGGGTCATCCTCCACTGCCTTCCCGGGCCACAGCAGAGAGCTGGACTGGAAGAGGAGCAACCAGGACAGAATCCGGCACCCCAACCAGGACTAGAACCCTGGGCAGCTGGCACTGCAGGCGGAGGATTAGCCAAGTGAGCCGTGGCGCTGGCCAAAGGACTGAATTATTACAGCTAGAAAGTACAGAAGGAACCCAGAATTTGCCGTTAACTACAGGTAAATGCCAATTTCCTTTCGCTGGTTACTAGGAATATGAACTTGGTTTACCTCATTGCAAAATGGGGATGATTGGACATGTCTCACTGTGTGTCTGTGTTTTAAAAGATTTATTTATTTGAAAGAGTTACAGAGAGGCCGGTGCCGCAGGACTCTAACCCAGAAACTGTGATATGGAATGAGGGTGTTCCAAGCAGCCTGTTAACTGCTGCACCAAATGCCTGCCCCAAACACCAATCTCTTGCCTGGCCTAACCTGCTAGCTTCCTTATCTACTCCCTGCTTCCACACTTACCAAGCCAATACTTACAGCCACATATATTGTGCACAGCACACCTCCAGGGATCTCATTCACAGAGACTGTAATGTGACGAGCACCCCCTGGGGCTGTGCAAGGCAATGACACTACCTGTTGGCTCCAGAGCACACTTCAAATTGAAAGCAAGACTGTTGCTGTTGTGTTCAGAACTCTCTAGGACCTCATTTTCTGTTTTAGGAAAGATTTGTTTACTTATTTGAAAGGCAGAGTGAGAGGAAGAGACAGAGACAAACAGATCTTCCATCTGCTTGTGTACACTCTAAATGGGTGTAATGGCTGGGGCTGGGCCAGTCCGAAGCCAGGAGCCATTCCATCTGGGTCTCCTATTCCCGTTCCTCCTCCACATAATCAGTGATGGGCAGTGTGGGGCAATGGTTAAGTACAAGGGCTCTGGAGGTTGAAATTCTGGCTCTACTGCTTACTGGCTGAATAATCTTGGGCAAATTTTTTGAGTTCTCAATGTTCTTCCCCCACTTGAAAAACAGACATGAAAAGTTGGAAAAAGAATGACATGTTTGATTTGCGCTCCCATTGGTTTGCTTTTGCTGGGTGGGTTTTCTGACAGAGGCCAGAGAATTAGCAGCTCCGGGGACAACACGGGGAGGGGGCTGGAGGTGATGACGCAGATGGAGGCAGCCGCTCAGGTAGGGTTCCTCTGGCTAACGCTCTTGTCTTCGTTGTTCAGCTGGTGCCCACTGCTCTTCGGCGGCTCGGTCCCGGTGTCGTCGTCGTCCACCACCTCCTCCGGCTGCCGGCACTTCTCGTAGAAGAAGATGATGGCCACCAGCACCAGCACCTCCATCACGATGCCCAGGAAGGGCCAGAAGGCGGCCAGGCGGCTGTGCACGCGCAGCGTGATCACCGCCTTGTCTGAGCCCTGGGAGCTGGTACCGTTGCACACGTACTTGCCGGGGTCGGACTTGATGTTCAGCTTCTTGATACGCAGCTCTGACCTGGCCTCCGAGTTGCTCACGAAGAACCTGTTCTGGGAGCCGTTCACAATGTCCTGGTGCCCGGAGTCGGCCATCTTGTACCAGGCCCAGCTGGTCACGGGCGGGAAGGAGTCTGACTTGCAGGCCAGCGTGACAGGGTCGCCCTCATTGGCTTTCTCCGACCTTTTCACGGCCTTCACTTTGGGGGGCCCACTCACGGCCAGGTCACCCCTGCCCACGGACTCGGGGAGGAAGAGGCAGGAGTACTTGCCGGCCCTGTCGGCCACGTCGACCTCGTACTCCATCTTCAGGTCGGTCAGCGCGTCCTCCTTCAGCACCTCGCCCCCTTTCATCCAGCGGTGGCCTGTGATCTGCGTGTCGCTGTGATTCAAGGCACAGGTGAGGCGCACCTTGGAACCCACTTCCTCTATGGAAGTGGAGACGCTGCCCACCTCCGCGGAGGCGCCCTCGACCAGCAGCAGCGCGAGCCCCAGCACCACGAGCGGCGCCGCCGCCATGTCCCCCATCATTCGCGCTTTACACCGCGCTCGCCGCCGAGCGCAGCCGCGCGTGCCGGGAGCGCGCACGCAGGGCCCAGCAAGGCGCTTTGCGTGTGCGAGTGCGCATGCCCAAGGTGTTTGGCTTGCTCCCTGAGGCAGGCAGTGCATCGGTGCGCCCAGGCACTGGTCATGGCTTCGTTTTGGGTTGCCGGATGAGAAGGTAAGTGGGCTGAGTTGAGCCCGGCTTGTCCACAGACCTCATGTAAACTTTAAAAACATACTGGGGCGGCTCCGTGGCACAGTAGGTTAATCCTCCGCCTGTGCCGCTGGCATCCCATATGGGTGCCGGTTCTAGTCCCGGTTGCTCCTCTTCCAGTCCAGCTCTCTGCTGTGGCCTGGGAAGGCAGTGGAGGATGGCCCAAGTCCTTGGGCCCCTGCACCCCCATGGAAGACCAGGAGGAAGCACCTGGCTCCTGGCTTCGGATCGGTGCAGCTCCGGCTGTTGCGGCCATTTGGGGAATGAGCCAACGGAAGGAAGACCTTTCTGTCTCTCCTTCTCATTGTCTGTAACTCTACCTCTCAGATAAATAAATAAAATCTTTAAAAAACAAACAAAACCCAGATATTGTCAACAGCCTGAGAGATGGCAATTGTCTGTTGCAGCAAAACCTGACACACTCCCGATGTAACAACCGAATTAACTCATTTTCCCATCTTTTATTTCATCAGCTGCCACATACAGCCGCCAGCCTCATGGATTAAATAGTTCAGAATTTTCTAGAGCAGAAAGCTCTCTGTGGATGGAGCCCATCTTACTTCCTGTGGGGTGCTGGATTCTTCATCTCCACAAAAGTCCCTGAACTCATAAAAATTAAGATCACATCACTGTGAGGATGAAAGGAAACAGTGTGGGTGAGTTGCCAGCACCGAGCAGTTTAGTAGTGAGTGATTGCTCAATGAAGGAAGGAGGGAAGACATGAGCCAGTGAATAAACTCCATGTTCTATTCATTCAGCCTCTAAATATTTATTGAACACGTGCTGTGCGCTAGCCCTTCTGGGGAATACAGCGATGAGTAAAATGGCCCAAGACTCTTCCTTCATGAAGAATACATGCTGATGGGAGAGGCAGAGAACAAAGTGAACCAGTAAATATAATATGTAAGGTAAAATGATTTCTGTAAAGAAAAACAAATGCGATAATATCAAGTTTAATCTTAGATGATCAAACAAGCCCTTTGCAAGAAGGAACATTTGAGCAAAGACTTGATTAGAATGAGAGTGTGATCTGTGCAAGTATCTGGGACATGAACATCCCAAATGGAGAGACCAGCAGGATCAAAGGTCTGGAGACAGGAATGTATTTGGGGAGCTTGAGGAAAGGCAAGATTTGTGTGACTTCAGGCCTGTGAGAGAGGGGAAGAGAATTAAATGAGAGTGAAGGTATGGCCTGAAGCCAGAAAGCTGGGGCATCCTATAGGATGGCAAGTTTTACTCTAAATAGAAAAGGAGGGGTAGCATTGTGGCACAGCAGGTTAGGCCATTGCTTGTGACACCAGCATCCCATATCTAAACACACGTTCAAGTCATGGCTGCTCTGCTTCCAGTCCTGCTCCCTGCTAATATGCCCAGGGAAAGCAGCAGAGGATAGCTCAAGTACCGGGGAGCCAGGGCAGGGTTGGGCTGGGTCTGACAGTTCTCCTAGAATGTCATAACCTGAGAACTTGGATTTTGCTAGTCTCTTTATCTTCTTTTTCTACTTCCTTCCTTTGTCCCCCCCCCTTTTTTCTCATATACTATTTGTTGTCATAGAAGGAAAGTCAAATTCAGTAAAGTACACATTGATTTATGAAACAAAATCCAAGATGAGAATTAATAAAATACAGATTTCAGTGAAATTATGCCTTAGCACTTACTTTTAAAACCATGTTTCAAAACATTATTCATAGGAATTAATGGATTTTTTTTTTCAAATTGCAAGAACAGGTGCTAGTTAGTGAATAGCACATTTTTGTGTTTTTAGTTTGTCACTTTATACTTGAGTTTTTGAGATTTTTCTTCCTTTTTGAGGTGATATGATATCTGTCAAGCATGATTCTTATAGGAGATGTTTCAAAACACACAACATAATTCAGTATATTTTGAAAGAAAATCACTGAATGATTTTTTGTAATTTTTTTCAGTTGCCAGGGAGCTGGCAGAGTGTCCAGGATGAGAAAAAGTGCTGAGGGGGGTTTGGAAGGTAGGCTGCAGGCATGTGGGGACCCAGCTGACAGAGAGTGACAAAGGAGAGGGCGTGAAACATCCGTCACGGGATTGGAGTTGGAGTCCCTGGGTGTGGACGCCAGCTTCTCTCACTCCCTTGCTTCGGGGTCGGTGCCATCTCTTCATGGTTCGGAGCCTTGTTTCCAACAGTGAACAATGCCCACATCTTTGGGTTGTCAGAATTCAAGGAGCAGTCTGTGGTCATACCTTGCTCCTAGGAAGGACTAAGACACATCCACTGAAAAAGATTAGTCAGGAACATGGTTCTCTCCTCTGCAGGTATTTAGGGCTAGAAACAGTCTCCTTCTGCTCCTACTCTCATCTTTCCTCCTTTAGGGCTCCTGCAGGGTGAGGGATTCTGCATTGGAGGGCTCCCAGGCGTGGAGCCCTGGCCCTCTGGCACTCAATCAACCCAGCATTCATCTGCAGCCAGGGAGAGCAGCCCGTCTGATTTCTTGACATCAACGCATTGAACCAGCAAGACAGGCCCCACGGAGTTATTTAAAACCTTAATCTAAGAGAGAGCATCTTGAATCTGAAGTTCTTGCCTAAATATAAACGGCAAAGCTTATTCAACATCAAATCAAATCAATGATAATTTGAGGACTAATTAGCATTTGGGGCTTTTTTCGGGAGCCTGGTGATGTAGTGTATAATGCTATGTGATTGGGGAGAAGCACATAATTACGAAGCTGAATACATTGTCTCCTGGAGACACGTGAAGGAGCAGATTCCTTTAGCCCTAGAGGCCTGGCACTGCCTGTGGGAGGGGGCAGGAAAGGGTGGGGGGCCAGGTGGCAGAGTCCATGTCTGAAGCCTACTGCAACCAGGGAACCTTGTGATGGTGGTGAGGTGGGGGTGGAGGGTAGGGGGGCAAAGAGCACCACCTCCTTTCTAACAGCAGGTGTTTTGCTTCACTTGGATCAACAAAGTTCCACATCTCACTTTATCTCTAAGAAGGAAGAGAGATATGAGATTATTTAAAGAAGAAATTGAAAAAAGGGAATAAAAATTTGGCACATGCTTGCTAGGAGCCAGGTGTCAAAAGAATCATAGCAACTAATACGAAGTACTTTTCATGTGGATATGTTCAAATCTTCACATCCAGAGCCAATTTAATCTTCAGAATGGGCCTGTGCAGTCTACACTACTGTTAGCTTTTGGATGGGAGGGAATAAGAAAGCTGAGACCCCAAGAAGTTAAAGAAATTTCCTCAAGTCTTATGTATAGAAATGAACAGATCAGTATAAATATATGTACATACTTTGGGCTCCAAAATTTGCGCTGCCCATTCCTGTACTGTGTTTATTTGCATAAATCCTGTTGTTTCATCATCTCCATAAGCTTGGGGAAGAAGGTATATTCTTAGGTTGGTTAGTCATGTCTACGGTGGCCATGGCACAGTGGAATGGGGACATCTGTTTTCAGGTGTTTGCTATCCCTGACTTAACATTGGGTTGTTCCAGCTGCTCCTCTATTTTCTCTGCACTGTATGTGTGTATAGGGATGTACATTCTAATGAGACTCAGGCTGAACAGCTGGATTCTGTAGGAGTTCCCAGCATGCATCGGCAACACACCCAGTGGTTAACCACGTCCCTTTTCTTCAAAGGACTTTGAGTTACTTTATTTTAACATTTAGACATGATCAACCAAGAGGCAGGTGTCTTGGAACAGAAAAGTGCAGTAACAAAAACAAAACCCTTTATACTTTGTTTTCCCCCTCCTGACTGAATATTAAGAGGCCAGAGAATGTCTTCTTTTTCAAGCATGATGAGGGTGATTCAAATTATACTCACTCTACTGGTTCTGGCCTGATGGGGGTTCAATTGCTGAGTATCATGTGGGACATAAAAAGTGAGACAATTAGTCTTCCCAGGAGGCAATCGAGATGGTTTAATTGGCACAGGAAACAAGAATCTTATTTCTTTAATATGATGTAAAAAACTCAAAGAGCTGAGAGCTGAGGATATTGGCACAGTCCATTGTTGTGAATAGATAGCAATCACATTAGATTATGGTCTGTATCACTATCTGATTATGACAATATTTCTTTTTTAAATTTTATTTAATAAATTTCTAAAGTACAGCTTATGGATTACAATAACTTTTTCCCTCCCATAACTTCCCTCCCACCCACAACCCTTCAATCTCCTGCTCCCTCTCCCATTCCATTCACATCAAGATTCGTTTTTAATTATCTTTATATACAGAAGATCAATTTAGTATATATTAAGTAAAGATTTCAACAGTTTGCACCGACACAGAAACACAAAGTATAAAGTACTTTTTGAGTTCCAGTTATAGCATTTATTCACATTGTACAACACATTAAGGACAGAGATCCTACATGAGGAATAAGTGCACAGTGACTCTTGTTGTTGACTTAACAAATTGACACTCTTGTTTATGGCGTCAGTAATCACCCTAGGCTCTTGTCATGAGTTGCCAGGGCTATGGAAGCCTTTTGAGTTTGTCAACTTCCATCTTATTCAAAGTCATAGTCAAAGTGGAAGTTCTCTCCTCCCTTCAGAGAAAGGCACCTCCTTCTTTGATGACCCATTCTTTCCACTGGGATCTCACTCACAGAGATCTTTCATTTGGGTCTTTTTTTTTTTTTGCCAGAGTGTCTTGGCTTTCCATGCCTGAAATACTCTCAGGGGCTCTTCAGCCAGATCTGAATGCCTTAAGGGCTGATTCTGAGGCCAGAGTGCTATTTAGGACATCTGCCATTCTATGAGTCTGCTGTGTATCCTGCTACCCATGTTGGATTGTTCTCTCCTTTTTAATTCTATCA